CACACACACACACACACACACACACACACACACACACACATTTAAGCTAGGCTCTTTGCTCTGAAGGGTTATGTTTTATGAAGCAAAGTGGTTTAAAGCTAGTTGAAAATGACAGAACATTTAATCACATCGCCACCATTGGTTGCAACTGCTGAGCGCAGAGCTGAGAAGGCTTTTTGCCCTACTTTTATTTCTGTGCGTTCAGGCGACAGTGAATGATACCAACCTCGGAAAGGGTACAGAAAACACTAGCATAACGGATTACAGAGTCAAATATTCAGTTAAGGGGGATTGGATCCTAATATGATTCATTTGCATCAATAAGTTTAACACAGTGTTTTGTATTGGGAGAAATACTCACCAGGAATTGCAAAAGCAGATAAAACCCTCTCCAAGGAAAGCAGTTCATGTCTAACTAGGCTTGTCAACTAAGAATATGGCATTCCCCTCTGCATTTAACCAGAAATCAACTTTAGACCTGTGTCCCTCGGTGCTGGGTGACAGCATCCATGGCTGTCACAATTGCCCAGCATGGAAGCAAGTTGAAAGTCCTGGGAGACTTGTCCAGAGCATGGCTATGACTCAAAGCTTACTGGGTCTGAGCAATTTAAATACCATCTCCAAATATGGGATTGGGCAACTTCTAGTCAAGATAAAGACAGAAGACTAACCAGACATGGAAATTCTCCTTCCTGGTCTAGATATAAAACATGAGGTTACAGCTTTGAGTAAGAGTTAAGACCAGAAGAACCAGAGACGGCTAACACTGACTACACAACAATCATAAAGTTCCAATGACTTTATCAATATGAAAGTCAGGAACAATAGACTCCTGTATTGAAGGATTGAATCCGGACTTCCAAGTAAAAGCAAGGAACTAGAAAATACCTGCCTATTCATAACCAAAGATTTTAGGAGATCAGTCAAAACAGGAGAGGGAGTGGAAGGCCTAAACCAGTATATTTGCAAAACAAAGAACAAGCTGAAAAAAGCCCTCAAATTCACATCAAAAACTCATCCAGGTCAAGTGAATATTATATGCCCAGGCAGATGCCTTGTTACGCTGCCACAATCCAAACACTCAACCCTCCTAAGGAAGTTGAACTCACGAAAGACTATGGAACCTAACAGAAGGAAAATTCCAAGACAGGGTATGCACAGAGGCAACAAATAAAATTTATATCTGAGGGCCTAACAACGAATGAATGAAATGAAGCGACTAGATTGGCCTTCTTAATATACAGATATTCAGAATGTTTAAAGAAATAAAGGAAAATGCAGCATGGCTAAAACAGGCACAAAATGCCAAGAAATACAAACAAGTAGATTTTTAGAAAGAAACCAGTAGACACTAAAATATCAGTGCCAACTTCTGTGAGTCAGTCAATTCACAGTGAATAATTACTAACAGTTGTTCCCTAAAGAATTTCTGGGGTGGAGGGACATACAGGAAAAGACGCAGATGCTTTCTAAAGTCTGATTTATAAAACAGATGCAATGAAGAAAATGGTTTTTGAACTGTCCAAAACTACAAGTAAATAACTTACAAATACTGACCTTTCCTTTTGATATTTGAGACAGATACTTTAATAGAACATGAGTCAAAAATACAATTATTTTTATTATCACAGGAAACCATGGAGTATTTTTTTTCTTCAGGTTGCAAACTCATTAAAAATAAAGTAGTAGCTAATGAACGATTTAAATGTGTTTTAGATTGCCTCAAAGCTTTAAAAAGTATTAGTAGTCAATCAGAAGCCTTGGGGAAATTTTTATATCAAAAAGAAAGAAAATCTTCTGTCCTGAGCGTGTGTTAAGGAAGTAGGGAAATTGTCAAGAAACACAAAGGTAATTCCTACAGAAGCAAGCAGACTGAAGGTTCCCACCTGACTCATGGCAAATTTACTCAGCTGCTTCAGATTACTTTTTACCCAGACCTCAAGAAAAACAGCTTGAAGATTTTAGACTCTTAATGGCAACATAAGGAGTTTACCAATAGTAAATCCTCATTTTTTTAGTCTTTCCTGCTTTTCTTTCTGATAGATGCGGGTCATGCTTGCTTTGTTCCCAAAAAATAGCAGTAAAATTTCAAATAAAACCTCTATTAAACATTATTTGAAATAGATATGCCTAGTACTTTCGCATTGTCTCGTTTAATTACTATAACAATCATGTTTAGAGAGAACCACTTCCCAGTCTACAAAGGCGACTAAGCTCACATCCAAGGAAATGGTGTGTCATACCCAGAGCCGCCCAGCTTTGGAAGTGATATAGGATAATACCATTTGAGTTATTTCAACTCCAAACCCTTCTTTCCCCTGAGGGAAAATGGTACTTTGGAATTCATATAAACCACAGAGCCTAGACAAAGCTCTGACAAGACCTAAAAATAGATTTTTCCTTGGCTTTTTAATCATTATTAAACTTACTTTAGCTGCTGCATTAAAAACATAAAAGTGTGCATATAAACGGAGTACCATGATATTTCAATACATGCATCCACTGTATAAATGGTTAAATCGGGTCTGATTGTGTCTTAGTATCCACTGATTCTCACTTTTATCGTCATTCTATCTGTTCCTAACGCTGTTGGCAGGGTATGAACTGAAATGTAGCTGCTTTCTGGGTGTCATGAGCTTTCCCCGTCACTTGCTCTTTAAACTTCTCACCCAAGCAGCCTCCGTTAATTTCAAAGAAGAAGGAGCCCACTGTTCCTGTTCATTTATCCACAGTCAAAGCAGGTGCCAGTCACAAGAGCTCCAGCTTTCACTCCTCTGAGAACGATGTTTCTCTGGGAGAGCTTATCAAAGTGGTAGCACTGCAGATTGGAGAGTGACCACAGTACCTGCCCGTTCAGAAAGGCCCAGCACACATTCAGAACCAAGAGAGTTATTCAGCCTCTGTAAATTTACAAGAGTCAGTTCCATAGATGGTGCTGTAGACACTGGTAAGGAGGGAAGAGTACAAGCAATAACAGAATCTGCTATACCATGACCGGCCAGCTCATTACCTTTAAGTTCTTACCACTTCCTTCCCCCCATACCTTCCAGATTCTAGATGCTATCACTTAGTTTCTCTCCTCTTCATACCCTAAACTTCTCAACAAAATGAGTCAACTTTAAACACAGAATATTCCATGCACCCCTAGAACACAATAGAGGGAGTTCTGTTCTCTAGACATGAACACCACAAAGGAAGACTAGGACTGTTTTCACTTTGCGTGCTTGACACCTGGATGTATTCAGTGCCTGTGTGACAGAGGAGCATCTGCAGAAGGTGTTTATCTGCATTTCTGCTCCCTTATTCTTATCCCCTAAAATTCGTCTCTCCCTTTCATCTACTCTCTAGTATGAGAATTTTGATTCTCCGTTAGGTTGTAAGCCTCAGTCATTTTACAAGTGCTTATGTAGATATTCTTTCAGTTACTGCATTCAGTGCCGAGTCCAGAGTCTCTGCAATAATATGCTCATTAAATTAATAAGTACCCCATAAGGTTTCCCAGGATGCTCCCCTAGCTGTTCAGAACAATCTTTTACACATTAAATATTAGTCAATGTGAATCAATTGAATTGTAGGAGAAGCTGGACCTCAGCTTGTGAATAAGTTGGATTCCAGATCTACACTTGTCGATTAGTCCTCTCAAACGCAGACTTTTCCCATTTTATTCCATGCTGGTAAAAGTTTCCGATCATTCAATACAATTTAACCTACCCCAAAACATAAAATTAATGGAACCAACTGATTTGTGTAATGTCAAAGTAGGGTCAAGAGGGGAAGGAGGGAGGCAAGGAGAATTTCCTCCTTGCTCTAGCAGCCCAGGGCTCCCGAGGGATTCTCGTGCTTTGAGTGTCTTGCTTTCTATTTTTTAGTATCCTTCTTCCAAAGCCAAGTCAAATATTCTCAGTCTCAGTATGGAGTTCACTCAGGCCCTTTTCAATTGCTCACATTCTTTAACTTTGACATTTCTAAATATTTTCCTGAGAAAAATCTAGCTACTTACAACTCGAAATGAATTTTAAGGTGCAAATGACCAGTAGCCCACACAACTCTTATGAAGAAATCAACTGTCGTCGAGAATATTTAACTAGAATGTCATAACTTTGATAGCCATAATAAAATTAATGGCAAAGTAAACGAGGCGTGGGAGTCTCTCTGAGTAGAAAAGAGCTGAGCATATCGCTCCACACACCCAGCCGTAGCTTCTATTATTTCTCCTTTGTGACTTGTGCTGTTTCTGTGGTTTCCGCTACCTCTTGTTTTCATTGTCAACGGTAAAGCTCACGGCGACACTGGGTGTTTTTCATTGGTCTCAGAGCTGTGTACACATAAGGATCATAGTGTCCCTCGTGTACCCCGTCGCTTGCTCCTTAAGCTTCTCACCCAAGCAGCCTCCTTTAGGTCCGCAGAAGGATCTCCACTCTTCCTGGTCATTTATCTTCAAGCAAGGCAGGTGCCAGTCACAAGAGTTCGATCTTTCACTCCTCTGAGAACCATGTTTCTCTGGGAGAGCTTATCAAAGTTTCAGGAATGCAAATTGGAGAATGGCCTGTGGCACCTGCCCATTCAGAAAGGCCCAGTGCACATTCCAGAATCTAGAGGTTTCCATTCACACATTCAGTGTCCACTCACTCTCATTCACGAGAACGTCACCATCTGCTTTATGGAATCTAGCAGGGCCTACAGTAGTAAACAAGATATTTTAAAACAGCCTTCCTCTCTCAAGCAGCTGCCAGACCAGTGTGAAAGACAGATAGGTCAAGATGCTTAAAGTGTCAAAACCTGTATCCAAAGTTCCAAAACAATTTAGAAAAACTGGGACGGCTTCCCAGAAACTATAACTAGTGTCCCTAAGAGCAAAAGGGAGAAAATGATTTAAATTATATAAATTCAATAGAGTAAGCAAAAAGGTTATTTAAGATCCTTTCTCTTCTCCTGTGTTACCCCTTAACAGACAGGGACGGGAGTTGTGCCCATTATATTCTGATAGATTAAAAACACAGTATCCAATACATTCTAATAGATAAGAACACAGATGCTAACCACAGCCATACTGGGTAGAATAGTAGTGTCAGATCCACGCCCCTTTTCTTCCCAGGGCACACTGTTATAGAGGAATGCACGGCCACACACTGTGTGCTTGTCACAGCAGGATCTGTGTACAAAGCCCCATCGGTTAGCCAAGCAACCCATCATCTCAGAGCACGTCTACCCTACATCCTGTGACACCACTCGCACAGCGCCTTTCACCTCATGCCCTAGACTTCCTGGTAAATTTATGTAGGGAAAAATGTGTAGATTTTCAAAATCATATGAGTGAACAGCTTAAGTGTTGATTACATGAAATGTTGGAAGAAATACCTTCATAAGTCTTTATGGAACTCCCTCCCAAGCACCTGAGTCTCGCTAAAGTCCTGAAGAACTGTCCCTCACTTGAGTCCTCACTGGAGACACGCCTAGTCTTTTGACATCGTTACTACACAAATAGCAAAGTGACAGATACTTGACCCCAGAATTAAGTCTAGAAAGGCCTAGTAGGAATGAAAGTCTGGAGAGAACTTTTGGTAGACTGAGTTGAAGACTGAAAATCAACAGTTCATTCTGAAGAGGCCTGGAAAACCATGGAAAGAATGTTATTCCCTCTGACCCTATTCCTACAATGACCAACTTCTCAACCTAAAAGCAGCTATTCTGACAACTCAAGGGAGGATAGTAATTTTTATACACAAGCAAATTTTTTAAGATTAAATAAATTGGTTGAAGAATAAAATAGGTATGCTTCAAATTTTTTGAGGATAATTAGCCCTTCTCACCTCAGGAACAGCTTTCAAGTCATTCTGAATAACTTAGTTCAGTGATGTTTTCTAAGATTTAGATCATGTTTTCAGTCAGCCTGATAGAATTTATTTACTATCCTAGTTTGCTTTCTATTTCTGTGATAAAACACTGACCAAAACCAATTTGGGGAGAAAGGCACAGTCCATGTTTGAGGGAACTCAGGCAGGAACTTAGGGCAGGAACCTGGAGGCAGGAACTGAAGTAAGAACACAGAGAGACACTGCTTACTGGCTTGCTCCTCTGGTCTGTGCTCAGCCTGCTTTTCTATACAGCTCAGGACCACCTGTCCATGGAGGCATCCTCTAGAGTGAGTTGGACCCTCCCACATCACTAAACAAACAAGAAAGTGCCTCACAGACCTGCCCACAGGCCAATCTGATAGAGTCAATTCCCCAGTTGAGGCTCCCTCTTCTCAGTGTCAAGTTAACAGCTGAAGCTATCCAGCACACTTGCCTACACAGATATATTTAAGACCATTTCTCCAGAAGATATTTGTCATTTCCTTAAAAAAGCATATGCTCTAGAAATTAAATGTGCATTATTGAACTTTATCAGGTCATGATGTTTCTTCAGAAAATTTGAGCCTTTTCTTGGTCTTTTTTTTCAAAGATGGAAGTGCAATTACTGGCCTTGTAACTGAGAGTTAAAACTGCTTATTTACTTGATCTTTTAATTTTTATTTTCTTTCTTTGTTTTTTTCTCCAGGCGCATTTTACATAGTGTCTGAGACTAATTCAGCCCTGAAGATCAACATGATCCTCAACTCTTCTAGCGAAGATGGTATTAAGAGAATCCAGGATGACTGCCCCAAAGCGGGAAGGCACGATTACATATTTGTCATGATCCCTACTCTCTACAGCATCATCTTTGTGGTGGGAATATTTGGAAACAGCTTGGTAGTGATTGTCATCTACTTTTACATGAAATTGAAGACTGTGGCCAGTGTTTTCCTTCTGAATTTAGCCCTGGCTGACTTATGCTTTCTGCTGACTTTGCCACTGTGGGCTGTCTACACTGCCATGGAATACCACTGGCCCTTTGGCAATCACCTGTGTAAGATCGCCTCAGCCAGCATCAGTTTCAACCTCTACGCCAGTGTGTTCCTGCTCACGTGTCTCAGCATTGACCGCTACCTCGCCATCGTCCACCCAATGAAGTCTCGCCTGCGCCGCACGATGCTGGTGGCCAAGGTCACCTGCATCATTATCTGGCTGCTGGCTGCTTTGGCCAGCTTACCAGCCGTCATCCACCGAAATGTGTTTTTCATCGAGAACACCAACATCACGGTTTGTGCTTTCCATTACGAATCTCAGAACTCAACCCTCCCCATAGGCCTGGGTCTGACCAAGAATATATTGGGATTCCTGTTTCCTTTTCTGATCATTCTCACAAGCTACACTCTTATTTGGAAAGCCCTGAAGAAGGCTTACGGAATTCAGAAGAACAAGCCAAGAAATGATGACATTTTTAGGATAATTATGGCAATTGTGCTTTTCTTTTTCTTTTCCTGGGTTCCACACCAGATACTCACTTTTCTGGACGTGCTGATTCAGCTGGGCGTCATCCGCGACTGTAAAATTACGGATATTGTGGACACCGCCATGCCTATCACCATTTGCGTCGCTTATTTTAACAATTGCCTGAATCCTCTTTTTTATGGCTTTCTGGGGAAAAAATTTAAAAAATATTTTCTCCAGCTCCTCAAATACATTCCTCCGAAGACCAAATCCCACTCGGGCTTGTCAACAAAAATGAGCACGCTTTCCTATCGCCCTTCGGATAACGTGAACTCATCCGCCAAGAAGCCTGGGCCTTGTTTTGAGGTGGAGTGACGGGTTCAAAACCTGCTGGTAAAGTAATTCTGTGACGGGCTAGAGCCGCAGCTTGCTACCAAAGGAGCATCACTGCCCTTCAGGGTTTAAGCAGAAAATGGATTATTCAGTGGACTGTAGATATTTTTCTAAAGCTCAGAACAAAAACTTTTCTTTACAAGAACTCAAAGCAAAGTCAGTTTCACCTTTATCATCATATAGATCGTTACTGCTCTGAGGAAAATGTCAGAATCTCAATATGTTGATTTGGAAAACATTTACTGGCAGAAATGCACTCTCCTCCGTCTCCTGCCATTCTGTCAGCTTTGATTTCCACATACAGGTATTTGGAATATATTAAAGCTTTAGCGGAGCAGTAGGAGACAGGAAGTCAACATGGCTCTGCCCAGTTTCCAAAGGGCAGGGAAATCTTCTGCCCCTTTAGCATTAGCAACTGTGAGCCGCGTTTTCCTGTTACTACCCTGTTTGTACCGAGTACTGAGATTTGCTAAGTAGTAGTCATGTAGTTTTAGAAGCTTTTGTGAAATCCAACCAGTGTCTTCAAAATTCACAATGCCAAAACAATGTCAGCAAAATGGCTTACTTGTGTGAGAGTGTAACCACAGTGACACACCAAAGTTAAACTGAATATAAAGTTGTAACTCTGTCCTGGATAATTCTGCCTTCCTAGTCCCGTCTATTTTATTTCATATCTGAAAAATGTATATAGTTTGTGGCAAACAGATTTATCATAAATTTTGCCTTTTACTGTTCTAAAAATGTGTATATTCTACACACACACATACACACACACACACATATATATATAGCTGTATCTCTAAGCTATTATTTGATTACAATCTGGCAAAGCTGTATTTATCCTGAAATAAAAATATTGTAATGTATTTAATCATCACTACTTAAAATAAATGCTGATTTATTTTTAAATTAGATAAACATGAGTAAGCATGAATACATTTTATTTGAGGTTTGACCTAATTATAATTTAATGAGTAGTTACATATTTTTTAATTTTTTATTATATTTATTTAATCTGGGGGGACATGTGAATGCCACAGCACATATATGAAGGTGAGAAGATAATTTTCAGGATTTGGTTCTCTCCACCAACTGAGTCCTGGCGATCGAACTCAAGTTGTCAAGCTTGGAGGCAAGCACCGTTAGTTACCCAACTGAACCACTTCACTGGCTCCTACACAAAAGATAAAGAAGAAAATATTTTATTCTAATGAACAGCATGGAATAAACACACATCATTTTGAATTTTTCAAAGTTTTTATATAACAGAAAAAATTTTATTCCCTATAACATTAAAATAATACATTATTTTTCATAATTTGTTTAATATTGGGATTTGTCTAGTTATATGTATGAATACTATAGGAAATTTAGAAGCTATAAAAAATAGTCATATTTTTGCCCCAATTAAAAAATGTTCATTTTAGTTCACCCATTTCTAATGTTCAGTATATATATAAATTATATCGGAGACATAATGTGCGTAGACCTTTATATAGTTTCACTCACGGCCATAGCACAGTAGCTTCCTGCTTTATTAAATATTTTCTCAAGCATTTTAATATTTTTTATTTTACTTTCATGTGGTTATTAGTCACCAAGCTAGAATATTTAGCTTTTTTCTGATTTTTTTTCAGTATTGTACGTTGCACTAAAATGAACATTCAAGTTCATGAATATGATAGATTTCTCAGAGTCTAAGAAGTGGTATACAGTTGTACACATTTCTTGTATTCTCGATACATATTACTCAACATTTTCCCCCCAAAATGAAATAATTCGTAATATTGCCAGCAACCTGATTCTATTTCACCAGAGCCTCAACAGCATGAACTTTTTGCAGAATGTAAACAGAAAAGAATTTATGGTGAGGATTCACCACAGTTCAAGGGTGGGGAATTAGTAATGCCTGAAGAGCTTGCTGGAACATTATGCTCCTATGGGCAATTGCCTCCTCCTTCAACCTACAGGTCTTCAGTCCTCCTGGCATCCACTTACAGAAGGCTGAGTTGCCATCCTGGGTCCGCACACTGTAGCCAAAAGACTGAGGAACATAGAAAGTAGTCATTGATGGGAGCTGTGGAGAAGGAGGTCACTCAGAGAGGTCTTGGTGTGCAAAGCAGGACCTCCACCAGCAGAATCTTGTATTCACATTGTATAAAGTGTTATTTGTGAATAAACGTGGTTACATATGCCTAATGTTATTTTCCTCTTGCATTATTTCACATTTCACTGGCATAATGCCTGCCCCTTACTCCAATGTTCTTTTATTTTCACAAAGGGTCACTTCCAAAAATTAAATTCTACCTCACCCCAAATTGTAGGGTTGTGACCCGAATTCTCTCTGGGTCTCCTGTGCGATCAGACAAACCATATAATATATTTTATGTGTATTCATTGACTTACAAAGGAATGAGTACCCAGTGCCTAGCCCTGCACTGCGCCTCAGAGCCCACCTTAACAGGCTGTGCCACACCCATAATTCACTCAGGTCTCTGGCGCAGGGATCGCCCCAGGTCCATTAAAAGAACATTCTGGGCCGGGTGTGGTGGCACACACCTTTAATCCCAGCACTCAGGAGGCAGAGGCAGGCGGTTCTCTGCGCATTAAGTTCAAGGCCAGCCTGGTGTACATAGTGAGTTCCAGGACAGCTGGGGCTACAGGGAGACCCTGTCTCAAAAAGACCAGAAAAAAAGTCAGTCCATTCTGTCTTTCAGCTATTGCACCCAGTGTTCCCAACACCCGGCTCAGGCTTCTCCAGCTTGGCTCAAGGCTTCTGTTCCAAGATGGCTCCCAGCCACACCCCCACAAGTCACACTCTGCCGCAGGCCCTGCCCGTTGGAGGAACTAGCTAATCAGGAAACAAGGATTGTTTAATCCTATTGGAAATCCCTTCTGATCAATTCTATAATATGTTGCCTCTGTTTCAATTGTTATTTTAACCCAAGTGATTGCAAGCATTTCAAACTTGCTAAGCCACTAGATAGATTATATTTGACAAAATTTCTTGAAAATAATTATATTTATATTCATCTAGCTCCTATATTTATTAACTAGGTTGAATGGTATATTTCTTGCCACATTTCTGTTTTAATTTTATCAAATTATATTATGATTTTTCTCTGTCCATTTGAAAAAATAGAGATTGAAAGCCTCGATGATTATTCTTGCCTTCTCAATGAGACCAACTTAATACTGAATTTGAAACTCACCAAAACGTTAGGATGGGATACTGTGATTTATCGTTTATAAACATATTTAAGGTTCCATAAACTTACTTAAAATTTTTATAAACATACTTAGGCACACTACATATTTTTGGAATATTTTAAGTGTGTGTAAAAAAAGAATATTTACCGTAAATATTAAGGTATCCAATGAACTGAAAGAGCTGCATGTTCTAATTTTTAGTCCTTCATGTGCAAATCCTTCTTTATAGTCAATTTGTAATTCATGGATTCTATAACTTTTGTTTAGGTTACAGGTTCTGTGCTGAGGGGCAGAGGTGTGCATCACATAGCTTACGGTACATGATGGGCCTTTCCATCTGCTGCTGTGAGTGGTCTGGAAGACATCCAAGTGAGAAGCCATTGGTTGGCAAGTCACAGAAAGGATTACAGAGCCTTGATAGAACAGATCTTTAGTTTCATAACTCTGTATACTGCTGTATTTATTGCCACCAATATATGCCAATTTGGGAATCCACAGAAAAGAAAACAGACTCAAGAAGGTCACAAAAGAGGTAAAGGAAATGAGCCAGAGGACTTCAGATAATTTTATGAAGGATAATTTATTAAGATTTTCTGTGAACCAATAGAATGACTATAAACTACAAAAGATTTATTACATAATATGAGTTAAGTAGTTTAGCAACAGTTAGTGGCATGCTGGACAGGCTGGATTCTCAGCTGTGCCAATCAGGTGCTGATTCTTGGAGAGCCATTGGTCTTCAGTCCATGTTGTAAGACGAATAAGCTGGGTTCTGATGGTGGCGGCGGCAGCAGCAGCAACGTGGCAGTCACACTCACCAACAAGAAGGGACGGTAAGCAGGTAAGGAGTGTGGCTCTTCCTCAACCCTTCCAAGCTTCCAGGGTCTCCCCACTAAACCCAGTGGCTTATGAGCTCCTTTGGTCTCATACAACCAGAAAGCACATCATTCTACCCTACCAAATCCAAGAGAAAATATGGTCATCAAAGTAACCCATCTTGCTTGAGAAATTACATGAGGTAAAAAAAAATAATTTTCCAAAACAGAAAGAGCCTGAATTAGAAATATAATTGACCATTTTTCAAAAGACATTAGCTTCAAAAGAGATGATTTTACTTTAATAACACATAATTTGGAACAATTCATATATAAGAAAGCTTTGGGTAAATAAACCTATAAGAATGTAAAGACCCTAAGATTTACCTCTCAAGTAGTCGGAGTGACAATATTCATCTATAGGCATGAGATGTGAGCTGATGACATCACCTTTATAACCATTGCTTGAGTCTCGTATAAGCTTTGCTTTCCTTCAGAAACATCCCCGTCTCCATTTGGCTGCTCACTTGGCGAAGAATCTACCAACACTTTCGTAGAAGAAGTGATAAGGCCAAATAAATTGGCCCACAACATTCCTCTGGCTGTGAGGGCCTGAGTATGTGGCCTAATGGATTCAACCATGGTGAATTTTCTGAGCTAGCAGGCAAAATGCCTTTTCTTTCTCATATAGAAGATAAGTGGATGTGAGGAGGAACTGCAGCCATTTTTGCTATGTCAAAAGGTGATGTGGAGGGCTGGAGAGATGGCTCAGCAGTTAAGAGCACTGACTGCTCTTGCAGAGGACCCAGGTTTGAATCCCAGTACCCGCATGGTGGCTAACAATCATCTATAACTCCAGATCCAGGGAATCTGATGCCTTCTTCTGACCTCCATGGGCTTTGCATGACACAGATTGCACTCACATGTATGCAGGCAATATACTCATACTCATTAAATAAAAATAATAAATAAAAACAATTTATATATTAAAAGGTTATGTGGAAAGTGATGGTGAGATATGGGAGGAGCTGGAGGCGGGGGAGTGGGAGTGGATTTGATCAAAACACCTTATGTGCATGTATGAAATTCTTGATAATTTTTTTAGTTAAAAAAAACTAGAGGGAATCATATTAGTCCAAAAACCTACTGAAAAATTACACATACAGTATCCCTACATGAGTCTGTGAGTATAGCTGAAGACCACATAACAAGAAATAGTGCCAGACAGGAGAAACTTTTGCATTGTTGACCAGGGTGGTCCCAGAGAATCCAAAAATGACGCAAGCTATTGCCATGTACTTGATTGCCTCCCGAACTTGATGGTAAGACCCTGATGCTGAAGACAGGACATACTTTAGACACAGGATTTGAAGCAATGGAGCTGGAACTGACCTGGAAACCTCCTCCCCTGAAGGCTAGTTCTCATAGCTTTGGAGAGCTCTACAAAAGCTGGCACATTAATTGATGGTCCAACCCTAGTTCAAGGCGTAAAAACCACATCAATGACCAATACGGTAAACAACATCGGTGGAGTGGTGGCACTTTTATCTTGGGGGTAATCAACAGCTACCTAATTGGACTTAAAACCCACTCAATGGGAGGAAACATATGTGGTGCTGTAAACCTAGCCAAATACACATAGCTGGAGAGGTCATAGATCTTAGAGGAAAACCTCAAGACTCTCATATACCCAGACAATTTCTTACCATGTGCAAATACGGATCCTTACATTTACAGACAAGTATCTCAGTCACCACCCATCAAACTCGCTTCTTTTTCAACAGACAGAAATTTCCAAGAACTTTTACAGAGAGAATAAGAAAGCAACAATAAGAGAAAGATAAAAATATGGATATTTTCTAGAAAACTTAACAGTATTAAAATAACCAGAAATGATTCGATAAACTAGAAAATCTGAGCACAGTGAAAAAAGAAAGGAAGGAGCTAAGACGGTGAATAAGACCAGAAGAAACTGAAGAATTGACTGAGTTCCCTGTGAACTAGCCGACTCCTCAGCTGAGTTTCTCTTTCTTTTCCCTAAAACAAGTTGAGGTTGAATTTCCTCTCAAAATTCTCTATTACAATACAGTATTCTGTGCAAAATTCCAGTTCTCAGTCATCGGGGTCTTCCCAGAGCACTGGCAAAGGATTCTCTGCTTATATGCATTGTACAATTATATGTGTCTGTATATTTACTGTATGTTAATATATACTATATTATATGCATTGTCTTCACAACGATCAGTCATTATGTTATTATCCAATGGACAAAAAGTAAGCCTATAGATTTGCATAATCAGTCCAATGTAATATGGCTAGTAGATGTTGGATTTAAAATTCAGACCTGGACATTCTGATTCTAGAATCTGTTATGTTGCTTTTTACAAACATAACCCCCAAAATACATCATAAATTCTGAATCATGTGGGCACTTTCAAAATATTGTCCAGGCCTATTCATTCAAGATTAGCATAATATTTGACTTTGTCTTGGACCCTACAAAATTTCAAGTTCCAATTTAATTTCAAGTCTTTTTCCTTGAAAACTGGACTCATAATGGAAATGATTACAATTGACCAGTGTAGCAATGGATTCTAGATATACATGTAGGTTCTAGCAGACAAGCAGGGTCTAACTGTTAATTGTCACTATAATTAGTAAAATACTCTAGTCCTTTGTGTAGCCAAGAATTTAGATAGCATTTACTAAATGGGGTCTGAGAAGAAATTCCTAAATTAGTTTTCATGACAGAGTTTTACTTTCTTACAGCTTAATAAAATAATATGCTTTGGGGAAAAATAATAGTGGAGAGACTACATTATATGAGAAAGATTTCCTTTTAAGAGATACAGTTCAGGAGCTGGAGAGATAGCTCAACAGTTAAGAGCACTGGCTACTCTTGCAGAAGACCTGGGTTCAAATCCCAGCACCCACATGGTAGCTAGCAAACTTCCATAACTCCAGTTCCAGGGGGTTGAACGTCCTCTTCTGTCCTCTACAGGCATTGCATGACCCAGGTGCACTTACACACATGAAGACATAACACTCATACACATTAAATAAATTAAATAAATAAATAAAGAGTTACAGTTCATATTTTGCAAGAGATTTAGTTGAAGGATAGACCTGGAATAGTAAAAACAAGCTGCTGATTTATTTCAACTGAACATAGAC